CATTTTGCAGTTTTAATTTCCATTTTCGTAAACAGCATTCCAAACTCTATCGATTTATCTGGGTCTGAATTCAATGTTCCAAGATACCCCTCCCTGGTGAGTGTCCCTCATTTGAGCGTATTATTCGTCTCGCCATGTGAATTGTGCAGTATATCAATGCCGGTATAACACATCCACTTTTAGTGTCTTCGTCTGCCAAACCGGTTTCGAGCCACTATTGCGCTCTGTCTAGGCGCTTTTCGGCCAGTCAGCGGCCCCTTGTCCTATTCGTGAACATGTGTGAGCCTAGAAAGGGTACTTTAGAAACCTTTTATGATTCACACATCACTGACAAGACAATTATAAATGTTGCTGCACATAGGCTGATTTGCGGAGGTCATTATTTTTTAGCGGTTTACTATATTCTTTAGCTTGACCATCTATTGGAGAAACGACAAGAGCCGTTGGATGCAGTCGTTGAATTCCAAATAGATGACTCTTTGTTGGAGCGCCGCATTACCGGACGATTATTTCATTTGAAAAGCGGTCGTAGTTACCACACTGATTTTAATCCGCCGAAGGTAAGTGCCCTGCCATTTTTTTGCTTTTATGATTCTCTATTTACGAATTTCGTAGCCGGGTTTGCTTTAGGAACATATGAAAGACGATATCACTGGAGAACCTTTAGTTCGTCGTAGCGATGACAACTTGGAAGCGCTGCGGAAGCGGCTGTCTGCCTACCATTCCATGGTGCGCATATTGGTTCATTCTCAAAGTGAATGACCCCACTTTCTGAAATAACTGGAGGTCATTCACCATAGTGTTCGCATTTAAGTTCAGCATTCCAAGAACGGGCAACACCAATCAGCAATGCCCAAAAAATGCCCCAAAATTATGGGTGACAATTTATGGCAATGTATTTAAAGCTTCTCCTATGAGAATTACAGTGGAATATATTATATATGCACGTTTGCTAACATTATATGCTACAGCATGCTACAATCACATTTCAAAACCAGGCGGCTAAACGCACGCTCTCGCGCGCGCTAGGGGCTCTAGCCATGAGAGACGGAGCCGCATGAACTGATTTTCATTATAGACCTTTATCGGACTTGTACCCCGCCCCCATGGGCGGAGTCTGGTCCTGCCACCCATTATAAGTGTTCCCATCCTGTCGCCTGTACTCCTACCAAGTTTGAACTTTCTAGGTCCATAGGGACAGGAATTATGAATTTTCGTCCAAACCCCCGCCCCTTGTGGGCGGAGTCTGGTTCTGCTACCCACCATAATTTTCCCAACATGGCGCCTGTACTCCTACCAAGTTTGAACTTTCTAGGTCCATGGGAACCGGAGTTGTGAATCGTTCGAGCTGACGTTTGGCACATCAAAAGTTTCCTTAAATTCCTTCACTAATTTGGTTCCACAACAGTCCAAACGCCGAGTGAAATGAGCACAGGCGAGGGATGGGTCAATAATTGAAACGAAGGAGACCCAGCCTCGAAGAGCGGAGCGTTAGTACAGTGGACGCAACTTTAAACATTAATTCATAACTCGATTCAGTGAAGGCATGGAAGCCAGAGAAAATGAAAGGAATGATCAAGGGCATGCGTAAAAATTGCGAAGCTGCACATACGATGGGCACAGGCATGAATTCAAGTGAAGGGTAATTTTTAACTATCGTATAACTCTGCTCGGAAACGATCTAGAACGCGAGGAGAAATTAGTTTAAGGTTATAGAGGGTGTGTGGTCAAATCTCCGAAGAAGGCGGAGCGGAGCTCTGGAATGTTTGGGGCTAAGATCAAAATTCATAAGTTTGTTCAAAAACGTGGGGACTTCCATTTGGGAAAGGCTTGCATTGAGGTGGGATGGATCTGCACTAAGGAGGGCGAAGGCGTGACCAAAAATACTACTCTACTCAAAAACATTCTAGAATCGACAAAAAGGGGTAGGTAGAGGCTGTTGAAGGAAGGTGTCAAACCCCCAAAGTGGATCGGGCTTGCACTTCTTGTACTTAGATGGGCATAGTTAAGATCGAAAGTTCACAACTCTGTCCAAAGGAGTCCTTAACATTCCAACCGCTCTACCTTTGAAACCATCAGCATTACTTGCTTACTTGAACTCGCATCTGTCAGCACCAGAGTACATACGAGCTCAGGCAGAAATTCATTTGCAGTTTTTTTTCTCAAGGGGCGGAACATGCACCGAAGGGGGGGGGGGCGATGCANTAAGGAAATCTTATAATTTTGCTTTAAAAAATGGCCAGGCACCATGAAAATGGCGTCAGGAATGTAGGAATGATCAAATAATCCGACAAAGAACACTCATCCGCGGTGAGCTAAGCGTGATTGTCTGTTTGTATGTCATTTTGCGTGTCAGTTCGCAAAATGTGGTATAGGCGCTGATGTTGTTTATTTCGACTCATCGATCACATTTTGTGACATCACTGGCTGGAAACACGGCTTGATCCTTTATGTCGCAGGATGGACTTATGTGGTTGTCCACAGTCACCTTCTACATTTGTATTAATTCTCATCTGGCATCATCAAATGTTATCTGTTTCTTATTCCTCCTCTGATGCGCAATTTTTCATGGGTGAATTGAAGCGAACTTCTGGATGTAGATGTGGCTACTAACTACTTTTTGAAAGTAACGAATGAGGCCCAGCGTAAGCCTGGTGACCCGACTCGTATCTCTCTTATTATAAAGCAGAAACTTGGTGTGCCGGGTCGTAGGTTTGTCGGTGTGTCTGTCTGTCCGTCCTTCCGCAGAACTTTATGACTACGGTAAAGGTAGTGGTATGGACAACTCAGCTGTATTCTACATTTCCTTTTTATATATAAAGTAGTAGCTTGGAGGGTAGGTCAGAGGAGTAGAACAAATACTGCGGAATTGTTGGCCTTACGTCGGGTCTCATTCCTTTATTTCAAAAGTAGTTAGAAAATTATGTAGTTGGGGATGGAGGGAATGAGGACCTCAGTGCGAGGTGGGTGTCAAGCTTAAAGCTGGAATGGGATATGAGTTGAATATCCAATCAATTCACCCTCTCATGAAGTTTAGGCCAAAAAGCGGTGGGTATTATTTTTGGCTAAGAAACGTTCCAGAGCACAATGATGGGGTAACCTTCTTATCTGCTGTAGCCTCAATGTTGAAGAAAGACCGGAAGTCTCTCAGCTACATTGCAACCTCCGATTTTTGCATAGCATAAATAGCACGATGCCAGTACAGATCGAAATCACAGTTTGAAGTACACACTTGACTCCACAATACTCACTTTACATCACTCGCTCCACTTCATTACCCAAGGGTAGAATGGTGCTGGGTTTTCCATACCATTACTTTTATCGTTATCATAAAGTCTGCGGACGGCAGACAGACAAACCGACGCACCAAATTCCTGCTTTTTAAATAAAAGAGGTACCCATTCCAACAGCTAATCGTCTCAACCCAACCCCACCGGTTCTCCCCTCCTGAGGCTTCCTCCTGAGGCTTAGATAAAATCTACACTATTTCGCCTATAACTGGCTCGAAGCACAGGTAAGCTTCGCTACCCATTCTTCTCTGCACTCAAGCCCACAGTGTTGGATAAAAGAGATGCCTCCCACATAAATTTTTATCTGTTTTGTAGAAGTAAAGAATAATGCTAGACTAACTGCTGATTAGATTCGGTTGCAGTTACGTATTCAATGATAATTCCCTTCGGAAAGCAAAGCATTGGGAGCTCAGGCAAGATAAGTGCGTGTTTAGACGACTCCTTTGGTTGGCTATTATCAAAAACGCGGTATTCATACTGCTGTAGATGCAAGTAAGTCGCTGGCTGACGTCTCGTTGAAAATAGACCAAATCTTCGCGAAACTGGCTTTGAGAGAAAAGGTATGTGCTTGTAATTATTGTCGTTTTCAAAGTTTCCACATTTATACAGAGCGTTCCAGGGCGCATTTTTTCGCAATGTGAAATGACTATTGAATCTATACGCACATTTGCTTTCATGATATGGAAGAAGAAGTTACANTCACGTTTCAAATATGCCTAGTTAGCACGGGTAGAGTCCCGAAGTCTAATTTGATTTCCTCATACGTTGCATGCAAATATCCTTCCCCTATTTTTTCCCGGTCGTTCCTGAGTCTTGCTTTATACGGCTCCAAACTGGGATGGCAACGGAGGACTGAAGTGTGTGAAGATCTGTAGAGCAGGATGGCAACTCCTTTATGTCAGTGAAGTCCGGCAACTGTCATCGGCACTACACTTGGAGAAGCTTGGCCCTGTGGGCTGGAATGTCGTTCTCCCGGAAGGACCACGGCGTTTTGGCGAGCAGAATTGAATCAAGTTCATGTTTTAGTGACTCTATATGTATCTTTAGCTACACGTACTCGCCAGTTTTTGCGTCGATACAGATGGAACCAACAATGTCTAACTTGTGCCCGTGGCTCCTTCGGTAAAGTCTCTTACCACTTTTCCGTGAGACGTTGCACTTTCGAATTTTTACTCGGAACGCGACGTTTTTTCGGTTAACGACAACCTTTGTCACGGAAAGTATTCTCGTTTGAGAAAGCAAGGAAAAGATGCTGTTTCACCTAAATGAGCTAGCAACCTTGTGAGTTTTTTGACCCTGTCTGTTGAGATCGCAAATAAAGTGGTATTTCTGCGTACAAGAAAACTAGCAGTGAAGCTTCTGCTTGACAGCCAGTCTCATCGACACTTCGATAAGTCTTGCTCTGTCGCCGTCATCTGATGAGTCACCTATGATCGCGATCGGCTCGCAAGCGAACTATTTTATATAGTCCCACCCTAGGCAAAAACGGTCTTTCGACCCTTATCAGATTTCTTTTCGGGCGGTTTTATTTCTCTATATCGTTTGATAGCCTTCAGAACCGTCTTTGGCTGCTTTCAAACTTCGACTTGCGCGCCGGCTCACAGTTGGACACGGCCGTAACTTTAGAAGTGGGGTGCGATGCGCTATGCGCGACGGCGGTCCTACCCAAGCGTGTGGCAGCAGCGGGTACCGATCGATACCACGAATCGAGGATGGCTGCTGTCACACGCTTGGATAGGACCGTCGTCGCGCATAGCCGCTCGCACCCCTCTTCTAAATGTACGGCCGTGTCCAACTGCGAGCCGGCGCGCAAGTCAGTATGAAAGCAGCCATTATTGGATCACAAAAAATTTTGAGATGTCCTTCCGCCTCTTGTATTGAATACATTGATGACAAGTGACATTGAATGAGCCTTCACAATTCAAAAGATATTCTGAGGCTCACACCAGTAAGTATGCATATCACAAAAATCTACTTGTGCAACTAATAAATAGCGACTGAAAATTAATTAATTATTCCTGCTTTAGAAATTTGAATTTTGGCGTCCGTAATTTTGGGACAGAGTGCATAATCTAATGGCCAAAAATCAGGCCGACGAATCATGGCCGATTGGCCACCGAGCGCGCGGTCGTGAACGGACACGAAATTTTCATTCTCACAAGGTTGGCTATTTGTGAGCAAAACTCGAACAGGGCTCTTTCAAAGCACCATGCTCTTTATCCTTTGCATTACCGAGCTCGCTTGCCGTGAGCTGGTCAGCCAAAGCAGCATTAGTTGTAAGCCTTAGCCGTTTAGTTGTAAGCCTTACATGATATAACTGCTTTCAACTTGATGTTTTGTCAACTGTTCTGATAATCTAAGCCATTAAGTAGGTGAAGGGAGCGGACTAACTCGATATCGCGCATCGCGTACTGCGGCGATATAACAGCGGTTAACAAAACATGAAATCGACCCAAGCTGTATCATCTAAGGCTTGCAGCTAAACCTTTAAATATGATTTTGGCTAATCGGCTAGGAGTGCAGGCTGCAGGGTGAGAATCTTATGGTGGGTGGCAGGACCGAAATTCTCCCAAAAGATGCAGAGCTCGCGCGAAAGTATCATTTTAGGACCTAGATCACTTAGATTTGGTAGGAGTGCAGGAGACAGGATAGGAACACTGATGATAGGTGGCAGGACTAGGCTTTGCCCGAAATTTCGACGCTCTTGGTCCAAATTGGCATATGTCACTTTGGGCCAAGAGCGTTGAAACGAAAGGATGTGGAGAGACCATACACGATTGTGACAAGGGCTGATAACAAGCGAAAAGCACTAACAAAGAGCCGTAGAAGACTAGGGCCACTATGTCTGGAACGCCCTCGTGTAACCAGTGGGACCCTGGCATTTCAATAGGATCTTTAGGATGAGATGGAATCGTAGGTACTCTAAGACCGAAAGTGATAACAACTTTTAAGAACTGATAAGGGGCCTCAGAGAGCAAGAACCCGTGGCGATCAAGTCCTAATGCCTTGGTTATCTACGATCTAGCTTCAACNCCTTTATATGTTTCGTCCGGTCAGTACAGTACAGGGCCGATTGGAGGCACTACATTGTAAGCAGAGGTAAATTTAGTTCATTTCTCACTATTAGATTACGAGCGCTACTCAGCAAGGTTTATGACTCAGTGGAGGATCGCGAATTTCCTTGGTTTCGACATCAATTGTATCGAAACTTATCAGACCGACAGTAATCTGGGATTCTCACATAATGACATATCCGTAGAGAAAGAATCGATAAAGGCATTTGGTGATGTTGTTATCACTACTCGACAACATTCCTGAGTACCATTCAAGGCCTTACCAATTAAGATAAAATGAACCGCAACAGATCGAGACTACTCATGGACATTAGCATCGGCGCATACTGAATAGCACATGCATTTCAGTCCTCAGTCAATTTCGTGCTCCGAAAAGTGTCATTGGTTCTGTGAAGCAGGAGCGGCCGGTTTGCCAATCATTACAACTCTGCCTTAAGAAGCAGGGAAGCCCGACGTTAGTCGGGCGACCTGACTGGTGGCATATAAGCCATCAAAATGACGAGGGCAAGTAGGGCCTCGGTAGTGTAAGGTATAAAGAGCAAGGCGCCTGGAAAGCACAAGTACGGGTTCGAGTCCCATCCGATGCTATGTTTTGCCTACAAACGCCAACCTTGTGAGATATTCGCGGGTTGTGGCGTTCGTGCTGCGACGATATAGCAGCAGTTAATAAAACGACAAGTCGAAACAAGGAAATTTCAGCTAATTGTACGAAGTGATATTAATGGCGCCACGAATGCCGGCTCACTGAGGCTTGAATGAAATAATATATATACCGGTCGGATCGCCCGGCCGACGCCGGGCTTTGCTCCTTGTGTTGAAGTCGATCCGCCTCCTGCACTATCCCAAATCTAAAAGCTCTACCAAGAAAAAGGAGCTATTGACTTCCAATGAAATACACACACATACACTTCGTGCACGCCTTGCCACCATGTTGTGGCACTACCACTCCCTAGGCCTTCGCTGTTTGGATCCAGTTCAGAGCACTTTCTACTAACCACCATTAGTGACCCTAAAGCTACACACACCACTCTCACCCACCGACGGAGTCCAAAATTTGAACGCCTCGGGTCCAAATTGGCAATTCTTGTGTAAGCCCGCCTTTCATGAGTGCCACCTCCCATCAGCATTATCATACTGCTGCCTTCATTCCGAGCAGATTTGAGCGCCCCAAGTCTGAACTGTCCATTGATCACGCACGCCCCACGTTGAGGGGAGTCGACTCCTGCCAGCTACTATAAGTGTTCTCATCCTGCCACCTGTACTCTTACCAAATTTGAACTCTCCACATTATAAGAAACAGGATTTATGCAACATTCCTCAAACACAAATTTTCGCGCAAACTCCTGTGGGCGGATCAAGTACTGCCACGACCCATCAGCATTCGCACACTGCCACCGGTAACATCTGTATCATCTATCGTCCCGATGATCATCGAATCCTCGAGCGGGCGCCAGTAACGTCTCCATTCGTCCTTGTTACGAGACAGAGTGGTCCAGTGAATCGTCCTCGCCTCAAGGACGCGAGGCTCAGCATTTCTTTCGTTTACAGCTTTCGTGAAGAAGTCTGACCATCTCGTTGGCGGCCATGCTGGAGTTCGTTTGTTTTCCCGAGAGATCCAGTCAGTAACCGCCACAGTCCAACGGTCATCACTATATCGCATAGCGTGTCCGACCCACCTGATCCTCTCTTTCTCGGCGTAGTCAACGGCAACCCTAATCTTCGTCCGATGACTCGGAACTCCGGATTCCCTTCTGCTCTTGCGTGTGTAGAAAAATTCCCTCCCAGATCGGGGAATTACCCTATACATCATCCTCCCCAGAGCGCGTTGTGTAACGCTGACACTCTACGAGAGTCCAGGTCTCCGAGGGGTACGTCAAAGCAGGAAGGACAGCAGTGTCGAAAAGGTGGGCGTTGAGCCGGAGTGTTCTTTGTCTTCTTCACTTCTCGCTCGATATACTTAAATGCTCCCCACGCGCCGCGTTTTCTTCTGCACAGCTCCGGAGCTAGGTCGTTCATCTGTTGACCTCCTGACCTAAATGCACATAGCTGGAGCATTCCGAGATATTTATTCGTTCCGTTCAGCGTGAAGGGAGCATCAGGTGCCAATCTTTTCTTCATGAACATCACCTTCGTTGGGTTCAGTGTCAAGCCGATCTTTCCACAACCACTGTCAAACTCGGCCAGCATCGTTCCGCCTGCGCGATGTTCGCTGTTATAAGCACGATGTCGTCTGCAAAGCGGAGATTAAGTACATAGCGACCGTCACTCCCAAGTCTTCCCATTTTGAATGATGCTGAAGAGAGTGGCACTGAAAAGTTTGGGTGAAATATTATCGCCCTGCCGGACACTTCTCTTCACGTCAAGAGTGTCTGTAGATCCACCTTGCAGAATGGTGAAATCTTGGTCGTGAAACTGTCGTAGAGCTAACGAAGCATCCTCATATAATATACTGAGTAGAAACGCACTGATTGCCCATTGCTTCAATTACCGCTTCTGTCTCGAAGGTATCAAAGGCTTTCTTCAAATCGATGACCGTAAGACAACGGCATGTTGTACTCTCGTGTTACTTCAATGAGTCTTGTAATGGTAAGGATATGAGCGATTGCACTGAATCCTCTCCTGAACCCCACTTGCATGGCTATCCTTCATTCAATATTCTGCCAATTCTGTTTAGGATGACGCGTGTGAAAAGCTTGTAAATTACAGACAACGGGCAGATTGGACGATAACTGCCAATATCGCCTGGCTCACCCTTTTTATACAGCAAAACAGTCTTGTTGGTTTCCCACGGCGTGGGCACTTTGCATTCCGACAGGTACCGCGTGAAGAGTCTATCCAGAGTGTGGCGGAAAACTGGTGGGAGACTCCTTATGTTCTGGTTTGATCCTATTGGGACCGAGTGCCGTACAACTCTTCATCGACATGCTGGCATGTCGAATTTCGGAAGGAAAAGCCGAAGAGCGATATATTCGTCTTGCCCAAGATGGTGGGTAGGCAGGTACACGTCCCTTCGACATGCAGTAACTGTTCCATCAGGACGACAAAGGGAAGCCATAATGGTCTTTTAATTGGCGAAGCTCCGTCGGGCGTGCGAATGCTTTTTGATGCCTCGGCGGCTTCGTCCATAACTGCTGCTCTTCTCTTTTTCAGATTCTCCTTTATCGCTTCTCTGCATAGCTTCGCAAGTTCAGACGTTTGTTGACGATTGCCTCTGCTCGCACGCGTCCACGCTGGCTATAGCTCGAGTGTCTTCGAGAAGAGTCGTCTCCTGGCTCAGTCAGGCAAAATTTCTGATTTAAGATTATGTGGTCTATTTCTGGTGGAAGTGTCCACCGGATGACTCCCATGTCCACCGCAGATGAGAGGGCTTTCGGAACAGCGAGTTACTATGGATGGTGTGGTTCGACATGATAAACTCGGACAGCCTTTCACCCTACTCATTCCTTTCCATTCTGTGAGATCCGATGTAGGGTTCTTCAGCCGTTCTTCTGGGGCCCATCTTGGCGTTGAAATCACCAACGACGACCTTGAAGAATGTATGGTCTTCTCTGTAAAACCTCTCCAGATCCATATAGAACGCTTCCAAGTCCTCTTCTTCGTAGCTTGATGTTGGCGCGTAGGCAACGAAGATGGTTAGGGCTATTCTTCGTAACATCTTCCTAATCGCAAACGTCCGATTCGGGCTATTAAGCTTTCGTACGAACCGATGTTCATGATCAAGTGCATATTGACGAGGGCACCTACGCCGCCGACGCCTCTCCTGTCGCATGGTTCAGTCCGAAGACGTACGTGATCTTCCTAGTCTGCATCAACAGGCCTTCTATTCACGCTTCCGATGCAAGCGTCCGTGCGTTAAAAATACAGATCGCCATCTTGGTATTTCTCCTTTTGAGCAGCCTGCTTTGATCCTGAGATTCAAGCAGCCTCTCCCGAGTGGTCCTACCAGTACTAGTCAAAAAGAAATCACCTTGAACCTTTTTTGTCATAACTCGTCTCGAACTCGATATTTTTTACTGATTCTTTAGCAGCACCTTCTCCAAATATCTCCGACTTTTCTGCGATGCAAGATACGCAGGAGCTTACTTCCTGCCAACTGGATGGTTTTTTNTTTTTTCTCGAAAAAATGCAAAATCGGCCTGATTTCATTTGGGTTTTTCTTAGATCTTTTCTAGTATAAAACTGCTCGAGAGTTCTTTGTTTCAACAGTAAATCTCTTTTAATAAAAGGGGGAAACTCTAGCACACGCTCTCTGACCGTGGAGCAGCTCTCCGCCATTGCCACGGGCAGTAAACAGGAATTGACCCTTGTTCAACATCCAGAGCTGTTTGTTGTGTCATTGCCTACGATTACGAGGGATATCGAAGATATTGAGTTTTTCACAGGCCCAATCAAAAAGCCAGCTCGGGGAGGCCACGTATTGCCGCTCCTGAGGACTATAGGAAGATCATTTGTGCGTCGAGTCAAGATCACAGAAGAGCACCTTTCAAAATAATGGCCGAAATATCGACGATGGCGGAGTCGCCACCATCTCCAGATGCCATCAACGGACGCCTGTGGGGTGCTGGGTCATATGGAAGAGGACTTGTAGAAAAGTATTTGGATCTCTGAAAANTAGACGAGCTCGACTTCAATGGGCGCGTAAGCACCTTCACTGGTCGTTCGACCAATGGCGTGAAGCATCTAGAGCGACTGGCCAAAGATTGTTTCGCTTGGTACAGATGAGATTTCGTTCGTAAGCAACCTAGATACAATTTTCGACCCCAAGTACCAATTGGCAGCTCTCAGGCATGGTGTTGGTTCAGTATTGCTTTGGGGATATTTTCCGAGTCTAGGCATGGGGTCCCTGCACCATAATCCCACCACCATGGACCACCAGAAGTACGTAGTCATTTTGCAGAAATACATGCTACCTTTCGCCCGTCCTGTACACGGCAGCAAACCTACTTTCCAGGAGTATAGCCGCCCCAAACAGAGATCTAGAAGGGGGCGAGATTGGCTGACTCATCGGAAAATGCGGAGCCTCGACGGATCCGGCCAGTCCCCTGACCTAAACATCATTGAGTCCTCGTGGCGGAAACTCAAGAAAAGGATAGGTGGTGTTTGGTTGGAGAGGTTTTGACGAAGAATGGAAGAAAATTGATAAGTGCTTGATCGACAAGTTGGTCGAGTCAATGCCCCGCAGTTGCCAAGCCGTCATCGATGCCAACGTTTTCGCTACAAAGCATTAGGTTAGTGGTTCATTGGTTCAGGTTCTGATCTCATGATGATAGGGTTTAAGCCAAGTGATTTATTTTGAATTCTTAAAGCTGGTATTATTTTGTCCTGTTCAAGAAGAATGTGAAAAATGGCCTTTTAACCCAAATATAAAAAAAAGTTTTGTGAGCTCTATGTTTGGAACATTAAGAATCATTACTGTTGTCAACGTACCAAAAAATCACTCAAAAACATCGAGTTTGAGACGAGTTATGAGAAAAAAGGTTCAAGGTGATTTCTTTTTGACCAGTACTGTGCACACATACATACATACATACATACATACATACATACATAAATACATACATACATACATACATACATACATACATACATACATACATACATACATACATACATACACACATACATACATACATACATACATACATA